GAACGTCCTTTTCAGAAGTCGCTCTCATAAAAGCCTTTCTAAAAAAAAAAAAAAAAACCGCTCGATCTTTTCCAGACCTCCCGCCTCTTGATTTGGTTTACCAAGGATATAAATCTGGGTCGAGATAAAAAGGCATGCACCATTGTGCCTAAGCATATGACAATTAACGCCACAAGTGGTTTCCTTGAGCAGAAAACACACCTATTGGCATTATCAGTTTTATCTACTTTGTTAAATCTTTTTATTAATATTTATTATTTTGCACTGTGGATTTACAGCAGAATGCTTTAATTTCTTGGCCAACCAAAATGAGTAACCCATGAATATTAACAAAAAAACAAAAAGTCGGGGGTCGGAAGACACCTTACCTCAAACATCAGAAGGGGACAGTCGTTATCTTTTGGCTATGTTATTAGAAGAAGGAAACTGGAATATGTTGTGACCATTGAAAAGATGTGCGAAAAGAGAAACAGAGGAAGACAACGCGACAATATTCTTGACAGACTTTTGTTATAACATGGAGATGATGAGCTGATGAATGCTATTGCAAATAGCAGGTTATGGAGAGGCATGATCGCCTGCGCTAGTCGACAAGACTTTTGATGATAATGTGGATTTCATGAACATTTACACATTTCTCATTTTTCATTATCAGCGTGATTTCTATTATCTTCACTGTTATACTTTAAAAAGATAATTACACACAAATAAGGGCGGATAAAAAAATATAACAATATACATTAGCTCTTTGGTTAACTCATCGTAAAATGGGTAAATTAAAATGTCCAGTGAGTACATAACACAACATAACCCTTGAATCATTAGGGTCGTGGAGGTGTATTTATGGAAAGACTAGCACATGAAACCCGCTATCTTTCTCTGTCTTCCACGTGATGAATAAGTGTATGCTAAATTTATCCTGTCAATTTCCTGATTTTATCATTCCAGGGTCTTCTTTGCCCTCCTCTTCTTCGACTACCCCCCCCCCCCGCCCTCTTTATGTACCTTGAAGTTCAGTATTTGCAATCGAATCATGACTCACCACGTGCCCAAACCAAGCTAGCTTGCGACGTTTCACCACTGCCAAGAGGTTCCCGATGTCCCGCAAATTTGTATGTTTTGTCTCTGACATATTTATTAGTTTTGTGTTCTAAATAACTAATTCGTAAAATGCATCTGTTGAATATCAGCTGGTGTACACAAACACGAGTTTAGCATCATATAACAAATGCAGCACCGCTAGTCTGAATAGGGCCAGTTACTTTGTTGTTGTTGTTGTTGCTGCATGATTTCACGATATCCATTTATGCTCAACAGGAAGTGATTGCTATTTCATGTCTATTGTAATGGAATGGTGCACTAATAACAAACCTCCCCATTTATACCCAACAGCATCGCTAATTGTCCATTTCTCTATCTTTTACAATGACAGGTGGATATCGTAGCGTTTGCTACTACACGAACTGGGCTCAGTATAGACATGGCAAAGGAACCTTTGTCCCAGAAAATGTCAACCCTTCACTGTGTACTCACCTGATTTACGCTTTCGCTAAGCCTCAAGGTCTTGATATTGTACCGTATGAATGGAACGACGAGTCCACAGAGTGGAGCGTGGGAATGTAAGTCAACCAATATTTGTAAAAATTCATAGTGTTAGGTTTAAGCTAGTCTCCCCAAACAAAGTAGGTCACGTTTCATTCACAAGTTTGTTGGGCTAGTCTACTTTCCTGCAGTTACGGGTGTGCCGCTCTGTTGTTTACTTTCTGAGTTGTCTTGCATTTACGTTTTTATTCCGAGAAAGAGAATTTCTGTGACATAGGATGCAACACTCTCTAGAGGGTTGTGTTAGACCCAGTTTGTCCATGTTTTTGGATTGTTAAAAGCGCTGGCTTTGCTGAAATATACAACATGCGATATAAACGCCATTGTAAAACACCCCTTGTGCCAAGGTAATGTGGCTGAAGGTCTACCAATCAGAAGTTAGTGTGTATATTAGCGGGATCTGAAGAGCGAAATATTACTTTTACCATTCATAGATTAATTACTTCAAGACAAGGTACGTTATTCTAACTCGGCAAGGATTGGGTACTAATGAAATGGGAGGTTCACAGCGGCTCGAAAATGCGACACAATCCACTAATGCGACGATTACTGGGATTCGGCTCAATGAGAGAATAAGGGTAGATTTGAAATGGGACTTGCTCCTTTATTTTAAGAAGTCCCTGTGTGAGTTCCGGGCCCCATTGTGGGGGAAAACAAATATTGACCCACTGCCTCCCCAACTGGCATGTCGTAGGAGTCGATTGATTGGGAGCTTCCCTCGAAGTCGAAGTGCATATGCCCGAGCGGCAAGGAACAATAAACTGAACACAAAAAAGCCTGTAAAACGGATGTACACGCAAAACTTAGGCCCTCGCACAAAGTCAAAGTCCAAATGGACGAACAACCAGGACTTTTCGCCGGGGTCTATAGCCGGTGAACAAAGAAGAAGAAGAAGAAGAAGAAGAAGAAGAAGAAGAAGAAGAAGAAGAAGAAGAAGAAGAAGAAGAAGAAGAAGAAGAAGACGAAGAAGAAGAAGAAGAAGAAGAAGAAGAAGAAGTACAAGAAGAATGAAGAGAAGAACTGCAAAGTTTTTTTTACAACTTTGCCTGATGTTTATCCTCTTCACTTTTATTCCTCATTGGAGCATAGGAGGTCAACCAATTCACACAACGTCATCGTGTATTTTGCTATTGTATGCAACTCGTTCCAGGTCCTCACCATCATTTTACCTTCACTTTCAGATTCACTTCTCTGTATGTGTACGTGTGTGTGAGTACGTGTGTGTGTGTGTGTATACATGTGTGTATGTGTGTGTGTGTACGTGTGTGAGTACGTGTGTGAGTACGTGTGTGTGTACGTGTGTGTATGTGTGTGTGTACGTGTGTGTAGTGTGTGTGTACGTGTGTGTATGTGTGTGTGTACGTGTGTGTGTATACGTGTGTGTACGTGTGTGTGTGTATACGTGTGTGTACGTGTGTGTGTCTGCGTGTGTGTGTGTGTATGTGTGTATGTGTTTTAATAGTTTGCATTTGTTTCTTTGACTCTGTCGGCTCCAGTACAAAACATTTTAGTTATATTGTTCTTATTGTTTCTCAACATGTATCCTATCCACCGCCAGTGTTATCTCCTCACCTCTCGACTCACTGGAATTTGTTTAGTTGTCTCCCAAAACTCCAAATTAGTGATCCTATCTTACCACCTAATTCCCTCTGTTCTGCACATGCATCGGTAATTAATGTAAAAGACCGTTTTCCACGCCATCAGACGTTTTGGGCATATAGGGCTTGACCTATATTTTATAGACTAATCGGCACTCAATGGGTGATGTGGTCAACATGACGCCGACTGTCTTCAATTCCAAAAACCTAACCTGGTACCTATTGAGGGATAGGTCGACCCGGAAGCCAAGGTCTTTTTTGAAGAACATCCGACTCTGTCATGTACTGAAACAACTTATATATATATATATATATATATATATATACACACATATACACACACACACATACCCGGGAAAACCCGCTCCACGGCATTGCCACATAGCACCCTTATACTGGGGCACCACATAAAGGTAACGAAGTAACCTGTAATCTAGTGTGGGGTCCGCCGCCCCCCCCCCACCCCCCCCCCACTTTCCCCCTTTTTTCCATAGGCCTGCGAACCGGAGAAAGAAAAAAGAGGCAGGCTAAGAAAATCCTGGATCCAAAATACAATCGACAAAAGAGGGCCTCAAATATGAAAACACCAAGTACAATTAGGTTTTTTTTTAAGTGTACGTTACTGTAGCTCTGAAGAACGTGATAATTGAAACGGTGTCAGTACTGCGTAGCGTTGCGTAATTCCAGAGGAGAGATAGCCCTGAGTACAATGCGTATGGCCGCCAGATGTGGACGAATATCTTCAGAGTTGCGTCAAACTATAAGCCGCATGACATGACTGTGATGAAGTTAATCTCTTCTTCTTCTTCTTCAGCGTTCCGAGCTCCTGAGGTTCATTGCTGCAGATATCACCCGCCTCCACTCATATCTCTGGTTGGTCTTCTCTTTCCAGTTGATGACACCAAGTGTTTGCAGGTCTGTCTGAACGTTATCTCTCCATCGTCCTCTTGGTCTGCCTCGTGTTCTACGACCATTCAGCTCCCTAGAGTATACAGTTTTTACCTCTCTGCCATTTGACATTCTCTCAAAATGCCCAAGCCATTTCAGTCTATTAGATCTCATAATACCAGTGATCAATGGTGATTTAAACAGATTTTTAGTTTCGTTGTTACTCTCCATTCCCCGCTGTTTGCATCTTTGATGGGTCCAGAGATTCGTCGTAATACTTACTATGTTTTCGAAAATTTATAATGAGACTTCATCTCTTTTAGTTGTGCTCCAAATTTTAGAGCCTTATAAAACGATTGGTCTAATAAACGTTTTATATATTTTGATTTTGGTGTTGCGAGATAGAGACTTTGACTATAACATATGTTGAAGGACATAGTATAGTTTATTTCCGGATTGTATTCTAGATTGTATATCTTCTCTCAACACGTTGGAGATGATTGAGTTTGCGTCCAAATACTTATGTTTCAGTTCCTTTGATTTTCAAATTATCGACTTGTATGTGGCCGTAGTTTATATCTTTTCCCTGTCTTGTTATTATCATGTATTCTGTCTTATCTTTAATGATAACTAATCCCATTTTGTGAGCTGCTTCTTTTAAGAGAGTAGTGTTTTTACAGTCTCTAGTTCATAGGAGCTCCAACGATATCAATGTCATCAGCATAACCATATTCTTGTGGTTTCTTCAAAAGTACACTCTTGTTTCAATTTCCTTATAATTTTCTCTAGGACCAAGTTGAAAAGAAGTGGGGACAGAGCATCACCTTGCTTTAAATCAGATGTTATTTGAAAAGGGTCTTACTTTCTGCCTTTATATGTTACTATATTTTAAGTGTCTTCCATGCATAGTTTGGCTATGGTAATTAACTTCTTTGGTATTCCAAAGGCATTCACAGCATTCAATAAACTGTTTCTATGTATACTATCATACGCATTTTAAAAATCCATGATGATGGTTACATAATGTTTAATTTGCACTGCATTGCTGACGATGTTTTGCGCGCATTTCACTTACTGTTGTGCCATTTTGCATCCACAATGACACCTGACTTCTATCCAGGTATGACCGAACTTTGAAACTGAAAGAAAAAAATCCCAGTCTAAAAATACTTCTGGCTGTCGGCGGATACAACATGGGCTCCCTACCTTTCATTCCGCTAGTAGAGACTGCTGCATCTAGGTCAACGTTTGCCCAGAACGCCATCAATTTCCTGAGAGCCAAGGGATTTGATGGTCTAGACATGGACTGGGAATACCCGGCTACTGGAGGCAGCCCTCCCACTGACAAACAGAAGCTGGTTCTTCTAATGCAGGTACTACACGTCTTATTGTCAGCGATTGTATAATTATTTTGTTTACACTTTCGATCCCAAGCAATTGTTACGTTTTCTTTATGAACGACTTGAGCTTAAATTAATAATGGTTTAAACCTGAAAGAGCTGAACTGATAGATACACTATCTGAAACAAAAATAATGCATACAGATAAAACCACTATGGAGAAAGAAATATATGTTAACGAAGACACATGGGAGTTGTGGAAAATTATGAATATCTTGGGTCATTTTTTACATTCAATGGCGACACAATGAAAGAAATTAAACGACGACTTTAAATTGCTCTTCAAAGACTAAAACAATTGAATAAATTATTGAGAAGGACAGATAGAACTACAAAAATTAGATTTCCAAGAGCATGCATCTTTCCCATTGCAACATACGCCTGTGAGACCTGGACACTTACTATACAAGCTGAACAGCGCATAAATACCTCTGAATAAAAATTTTATAGACGGGTTCTAAGAATATAATGTGTAAAGAAAATAACAAATGCATCCATTTTTCAAGAACTGAATATTCAAGAATGTTGGCTATTATAGACGATAGAACTCAGAAAATTTAAATATTTTGGTCACTAGCAACGTCACGACAGTTTAGAGAACAGTAATGGAGGGGTATATTCCTGGGAGGAGAGGAAGAGAAAGCCCAAAGAGAAGATCGGTGCAGGATGTGGCGGATGATCTCCTGATGGGTGTATCAGACGTGGGACATCTTGCTTGTGATCTAGAAGTTTTCCGGAGGGTTGTTATGGGAACAAGGTTCTGCAAAGGACATGCTGCTGACTAAATATAAACTGAACTGTTTTTCTTGACTATAGTAACAAAATGGTACTGTATAGTTTAAATTTATGTATATTTTCCACCCTACTCGAAATAGAAGAGAGATTTAGCAGTTAAAACATTCAATTTGTTTGAGAGCACTAATAAATAAAAAAAAAATTAATATGCATAATAATTTGTAAATTTTATCATGCTTCTAAATGTGTTGAATTGAGTTGAGAACTGACATCACTTCACACGAAGCATCCCTATAAGCACACATTCCTCATCTTCAGCAGCCAGCGAAGACTTCCAGTTCTGATAGTGGCAACTACAGTGTGTTTTTATGCCCGTTTGTCATTCCTCTTAAAGTTTAGGTTTAAACAACGGAGTAACCCATAATCCTGAGTCCTAAGATTCTCAGCTTAGTGCACGAACTCCGTAGCATCTCTGAGTGTAGTGTCGATGAAATCCTCTGGCAACTGCCTAAATGTGTTAAGAGTCTTTCTTTTTTTGTCTTAAGTCAGCCATGGATAGAGGGTATTATTGTAATATCATTGAGCTGTGTGAAAGCGTTGGCGGGTGAAGTATGTTTATATCTTGGAATAACTTTCTAGATCGTTCATTTATTCTCTAACGTTGTTTTTCTATCTATCACCTATCACTGATGATGATTCGCCTTAGCACAGTCGGTAGTATGCTCCTGTACGGATCAACACGAATTTTTGCGTCTGTCCTTAAGTTTCCCATTTCCTTATGATTTTATAATTTACAATTGCACAGGTGCTGCTGCTCCGTGAAAGCGGTAAATTTCTTTGATCTAAGTTTGAGAAATAATTGGTGTACCTCTAAAAATTGACTATGCAGTAACTGACACACATGTGCGTTTTGTTTGGCAATTATTCCGTTGTGATTATTTCTACAGAATATCCCGCATACAATGAAAAATTCACAACTTACGGGAGACTAATGCTGGAGATGACCATAGGAGAGGGAGACGCTTCTGAAACGCGTGCAATTTGATATTTTGAGAAGTTTCGGTTACTCAATTAACTGTAAACATGCTGACTGTTTGCATCGAATCGGTGTATGTTTTATATATACTGCAAAAAAGGCAAAACGAAAACTAGATATCAGTATTATAATTATTTTCATACAATGCCATGATTATTAACAGGTCGCTTGGCCGATGACAACAGCTTACATGGAATGGTTATAGAATTCCAGATTTTTAAAGTTGGTGACGATTAGTAATTAGGTTTTCGTCACCCTATGGGACGCAATTTTTCGTTATTTTGAAGCACCACCCTGGCTGTTGGCAGGGGCCCTAATATAACCTAATAGTTGAACAGGCTTTCCGGGACCTCTCCCCGGGTGATCCTCATCCGCATGGTGGCACTTTGTGTCACTAGGCGTTTTTCTCTCATTGTGATGTCCTGGTTAGATAAATATTACTTACTTACTTGTTGACGACTGTTGGAACGGATCATAATACCTATTTAAAATAAAATGACATGGGAATGCAAGACAATCTAATAAACTTAGCTCCGATGTGGATTCGAGCCCAAGACATCTGAACCGGCAACGAAGCGTCTATCTGCAGCCCTACCGCACTACCATGCTCAAATATTTCAGTATTAAACTAATCATCTATTTTCTTTTTGTCCCTAAAGGAAATAATGAGAGCGTTTGAAGCCGAAGGTCAGAGTACTGGAAAACCTCGATTGTTGTTAACTGGAGCTCTTCCTGCTGGCAAAAAGAACATTGATGCTGGTTTTGATATGGCTCCTCTATTAAGGTGAGACAACTCTAGTCAATAAACAAAATATTTCAGAAATGAAAATAGCGGATGTTAACGAATTTTTGGTGTGCTGCAAGCGAAAAGGGAGTTCCTGTGGCCGAGCGGCTAGACGCTCGCCGCGGATCGGAAGGTCTTGGGTTCGCTCCCTGGCGTAGCCAGACTATTTTTAAAAATGAACTTGGCTCCCAGGTCAACCCAGCCTTGAGTGGGTACCGGGTGCAGTCCCGGGAAGTAAAGGCGGCTGGCGTGATGCTGACCACATCACCCATCTTCTGCCTATTGGTCTAAAAAATATAGGTCTAGCCCTATATGCCCTATACGCCTAAAGGCGTGGAAAAGGGTCCAAGAGAAGAGAGATCAAGCGAAAAACAATTAATTAATTAAAACGTGTTGATCGTCTCCGGTGTTAATAATTGATTTCACTAAGGTCACTGCATGTGTATGACGTGAATGTTGTGGGCGATTGCATAATTGTTTTCTAATGACTTATCATCATGTAGCAGGTTGTTTGCAGAACGTCGCTCTCATCACGGTCCGCCTGAAAAACACAAATGTAATTAGAAGCTGAGATTACAAATTATAGCGGGACCGCGTTAGAGCAGTCGATACGAGACTCGCTTTCAAATCCAGCTGCGACTCGCAGCAGCTCATGGTTGGTGTTCGAAACCGGGCGGTTCACCCAGCCTCTAGGAAATGGGTAACATAGTTGACACTCTGAGGTAAATGGAGGAACGTCGCTGTAGCTACGGAGTTACGTGCAGTTGGCGACACATGCGGACAGTTTCTTATCAGCTGTCCGTACTGGTGGCAGAGCACTTATGGTTTATAACCATGTGCAATGACGCTGGTTCACATTTCCCGACTTTACTTTAAAAAAAAAAAAAAATATATATATATATATATGGTACGCAAATTTAAAAACTTCTTTATGAGGACGAGTTTCGATGGGTGTTGTATGGCAAGGAAAAAAAAAAACAGCATAGCCAGCATTTCAATCATTCACAATAAAGACCTATTCAGGCTCAGGTACTAAAAGGGTTAAAACAAATCTATTTCTTTGTGATTTCTCGCTAAAGAATATTACTTTTATTTTATTTTAGGTACATGGACTTTATCTCCATAATGACATATGACCTACACGGCAGCTGGGAGCCCCACACGGGCATTAACTCTCCTCTGTACGCTCACACAAAGGATGTCGGCGAAGACGCCTACCTAAATCTGGTAAGGGTTGTTTAGAATTTCATCATCTTTATATAAAAGAAAGACAGGCGATGAATCTATCTGTTATATATCCTCATTATATTATTGTTAATAGATAACGCATTCACATATCTCCGTTTCAGTGGCCCCCCCCCCCCCCCCCCCCCCCCCCTTCTTTCTACTGACCTTCTGTCGGTTTTCTGAAATCGTCACTGTCCCCTTTCCCCCTCTTTCTACTGACCTTCTGTCGGTTTTCTAAAATTGTCAGTGTACCCCCCCCCTCTCCCCCTTTTCTCCCCCTTTTCTACTGACCTTCTGCCGGTTTCCTGAAATCGTCAGTCCCTCCCCTCCCCCCTTTTTTTCTATTGACCTTCTGCCGGTTTCCTGAAATCGTCATTGTCTCCCCCCAACACCCCCCCCCAATCGGTGAGCTGTCATTGTCAAAGTGTCATTAGGAATTCTGCAAACATGTCCAAGTCCTTCGGTTATATTTTCCACAAAGGAAAATTTTGTGTTCCTCTTGTTCTTCATTCGTGATCTTGATTGTACCGATTATTCCCAGGATTCTCCCTCGATACTTATTTTGGAACATCTCTAGTTTATGCCTGGTTCCCGCTGTCATTTTTTCAACATGCATTTCCAAAATGTTGCTGAGGGGGCAGAGTGGTCTCTAGGCATGGTGTCCGCATCGAGTGCTAAAGGTTCCGTGTTCAATCCCCGATAAGTACTAGGATTTTTTCACGTGGACTTGGACTTCTATTAATTCCCCCTGGTCTCTGGGTAGTGGGATCGAACGCCCGTGTGCATTGTTGTGCACGTAAAAAAAAAATCCTTCGGCAGTTGGAAATCGAAAAGAGTAGCCTAACGGCGCTGCCTGAGCTAAATTTGGAGTTAAAAATCTACCCAAAGTATTTGAGGATCCTCGCCGGTGCTACAGAGCATGTGCACTGTGCTGAGCTTCTTAGGACTCAGACTTGAGTTAGAAGAAGAACTGAGCACTTATGGGTTACACCCGTGTGCCATGATGTTGATCCGCTGTTCAAAACTTCAAAGCCTAAAAATGTTGCTGTCGCACATTGTCAGTTGTGTTTGTGTTTGTGTGTGTGTGTATCAAGGGGCCTACTCGAGCACCCTAAACCTTGCTTGAGTGCGTAGTTACGCTCATACATATATGTACGTATATATATGTATATATATATGTATATGTATATAGACAAAAAGTTACACACTTAAACAAGGCTTAGACTCCTCCAGTCCCGTTTCCACCACAACAAAACCATCCTCATGTTTTTTTGGTGCCGATGTCCCTGAACTGCCACACTATTATTTGAACCAGTCAGAAATTAGTTCAGATTTGTTCAGCCAAAGTCTCATTAATGGATGCAATAAAACAAAACGATTCCTGGGTTTCTAGAGGCACCAAAAACAGGATCTTATTCGCGCTATAGGCGTATCTTGCATGTGGCGCTGGATCCCTTTTGTTTATAGGCAACTCAGAATGTGAGAAATATAACCAGATTGTGTAACAGGTACAATCAGTATGAAACTCTGCGCTGGCTGCTGAAGATGCGGATTGAGCACGCATGGAAATGCCCTGAGTACTGTGATTTAATTTCTTTACTCAACTCAACTCAGACTTTGAGGACTGTTGATGTTAACAGCACACCAGGTAATATAAAATCAATCTACCTGATGCATCAAGTCACTTAATTTCTATGACCTGTTTTTCAACTCGCCAATAATGTTTGTCGCGTCGAAACGCTGTATATGAATTTATATTATTTCAGAATTATCTATGTAGTTCACATTTTGCGTACTTACTCTTTGTGAGTGTTTGAGTATGTGTTGTATCGGAAAGAACTGACATCACAGCACTCGGGGCATTACCATAAGCGTTCGGTCCTCATCTTCAGCAGCAAGCGAAGAGTTTCAGTTTCAATGATACCAGTAGTAGTTTGATTATATGTCAGTCATGCCTTTCCTCTGAGCGTCCCCTAGTTACTCCCAGCTGTATTATTCATTCTCTCAAGACCATAATGATCTATTTGTGCCTCTGCAGTGTTCACTCATTGCGAAAGAGCCTTCCTAACATTATGTTTTTCATGAATAAACCACCACTTATTAGCGTAGAACCATCAGTTCTGTCTACCTCTTCATTTACCAACACTCGTTGTAGACGACGATGTAATGTGGTGAAAAAAAAATTATAGTTAGACATTTTAAATACATAATTATTTTGTTAAAAAGATTAAAAAAATAGTTTTTTTTAAAAGAATGCAACATGTGTTTTCAAGGAAATGAATCCATGATATCGACATGTCTTTAGGGAGGTTCAACAGAATAAGGTTTTCGTTAAAAAAACCACTTTGTTTTAATTTATTATTAAAATTTTTTTTGTTAAATTTTTTAACAGCACTGGGTTGCTGAGTACTACGTGTCTCTGGGAGCTCCTAAAGAAAAAATTAATATAGGCATTGCTCTCTACGGACGCACGTTCACTCTCGACAGCCCAGGCCATCATGACATAGGCTCCCCAGCCAGCCAACCAGGCGACGCTGGCCTGTTTACTGGAGAAAAGGGGTTCATCTCCTATTATGAGGTAACTGTGTTTTGTGTCTTATAATTCCTATTTTGCTTTCATAGTATGTCTTATTATTTCATTGTCGTGGGTGCGCGTCCTGGTGGAGCTGGCCTTTTTTTCAAAAATGACCTTGACTCCCAGGTCGACCCAGCCTTGAGTGGGCACCAGGTGCAGTCCTGGAAAGTAATGGTGGCCGGCGTGATGCTGACCACATCACCCACCAAGTGCCAAAATGGTCTATAAAAATATAGATCTAGCTCTAAAGGCGTGGAATAGAGACCTTATTATTGCATTATGTGTCTTATAATTGCATTCTATGTCTTACAGTGTGTCTTGTTGTTGCAGTTTGTGTCTTATATTTGCTGTCAAATCCTATAGTGTATATTATTGCATAGTATGTGTTATTAAGTCGGCTCTGTGGCTAAGTCGATGCGAACCCTTCGTAATGCCGGGATGCCGGGTTCAATCCCAGCTGCGTTGCTTTCGACATACATACATACATACATACATACATACATACATACATACATACATACATACATACATACATACATACATACATACATACATACATACATACATACATACATACATACATACATACATACATACATACATACATACATACATACATACATACATACATACATACATACATACATACATACAT